TGAAGGGAGGGCAGGGGAATGAGGGGCAAAGAAAAGCACCAAGATATATTATGTAGAGGTACAAATTCACAATGATGAATGTCAATGTGCTGTAGACCTAAAATGTACCAATAAAAGTAATGAATTAAAAAACACAAACCCTAGTAGAATTCGCCTTGGCAGGCATGACCTGTAAGTTAATCAAAATGTTCACTTCAAGTTGATGTTTAAAGTTTCTCCCAGGTAAAAAAGCTGAGAAGTAATCTTGTGTTTTTAAATTATTAATATAACACTACCATAAAGGCATATAAATGCAGTGTGTCCATTCTCCCAGGCTCTAGAATGAATCAGTTTGAATTTAAAACACATTGATAAGATGTATGATTTCAACCCATGACTTAGCAGAGAGCCACTACTCTATGCTGCAGATTACTCATTGGTCAAATGGAAAATACGGTGCCCATGCCAAAGAGTTATCATGACAATTCCCTTGCACCCCGAGTATGCTTCAAAATTTCATGATCATTAGTATTGTGGTCATGATTATTATAATTGGATATTTTTGTCATCCTCATTTCTTTAGATATTTTCCCAAGCTTCTGTTAATCATGAACACACCAGTCCTAGCTATGAGGCTGAGCCGTAAAAACCTGTCATTTCACTAGGCCCCCACTTTCTTTTGTGCCAGCCCGCAGGCCCACTGCACGTCCTGCTCAGTACACCTCCTCTGTGTCCCTTCTGGCACTGCTTCTGCTGCTTTACTTTGGCTGGAACCCCGCCTCCACCCCAGCTCTACTCTATCTGAACCTCAAAGACGCACGTCTTTCCACTTCTTAAACTCCCTTTATGTTCACTGCCTAAATCACATTTGTGATTGTGTACTAATTCACATAATGTACTGGTTATTTCTGTATGTAATACAGATGCCATATGTTTGAGAGGTTTTTTTCTCTGATTCATGTTTTGTTGCCTTGAGTAGACTTTAGTACCTTGTTCCTAAATGTTATGTTTAGTATATCTGCACTTGTTACAGAGTTAATCTAAGGACAAAGGGCGAGCTACAAATGTTTATTCATTGAGTCTGTCATAATACCGTACAGTCTCTTTTTCTAAAAGGTCAGTCAATACTGACATTTAGTAATGCTTTACAGTAGGGTTTCTCATTAATAAGGCTTTTTCCTGATAAAGAATTTTCAAGATTATTTAACATAATTGAACTCTACCAGGAAAATGATCTCAGTCCCTAGCTCTACCTCCAAAACTAACTGTGTTCTGAGAAAATTTCTATTTACCAAAACTTAGAGTGACTCCCCAAAATGTTAGTGATATTCATGTTACTTTGCCCCAACATAATACATACAGTATTCTATGATTTGTTAAAAAATTTAGTTGACTTTAAAAATGAAAATCTTAAAAAATATCAGTGACTATTTTTATATCTTCACTGTCAATTTTTTATTCTCATTAATATTCCTAAATAAAAAATTCTCATTTATATTTCTTTGAAGTAATTTCATTCATATTCTGAATCACTTTCTATAGATTATTAAATTTTATTTTTTGGATGATTTTTTAAGACGTTTTCATGAATCTTTGGGTAATAGATAATTTAGAACTTCAAATTGATTTTAAATGACTTTTTTAAGGAAATATCTCCATCTAGTGGAAAAATTGTTATATTACAACCTACAAAGAAAAGTTTGTTAGAATATCAAGCATTTTTCTGAAACGTTTTGGTTTTAATAGGTAATATTATGGCAAAAATGTTAAAGATTTTCCTATACTTAGCAATATTTTTCCAGGAATTATAGTGAAGTAGGGCCAGGAATTTAGCTCAGTTGTGCTGTGGCCGACCTTGCATAGTTAAGGTCCTGAGTTCAATTTCTAGTATGTTGGGGCGAGGGGGGTCGTCATAGTAAAGAGTCTCTGAAAGTTGACATCTTAATTAGAAAAAGTATTATAATTTAAAAATAAAAATTACAGATTTTTAGTTTTGAAATGTATTCAATTGAACTGAGAGAAACCAAGACTCACATTCCTAGTCTTCTCTATTTCTGTTCATGCAGAACAAGGGCACATTATTTCCTTAAGAGTAGCATCATCTTACTATTATTTAAAAAATCAGTATGGGTGATATGTGATCACACTCTTAGGTCCTCATGCTGAAGAGCTGCTGTAACTCATTCTTGAGGAGGAAAATCCATTTCTATCTGCCTTCAGAAGCCCTCTTTAAATATCTTCTCTATGGAAACTTCTCATGTGCCCACCTTTATTTTTGTATCAGTCTGTTCGGAGCAGGTGCTTCATAGTAGCTTAGATAAGTAGATACAAAAGGAACTTGCCTGAAATCCCTTAGTATGTCTCTTTGATGATTAGAAATGCTTTTCTTCTCTGGCTTTCCTTGGGATCGCCAAGGTCCAGGGACACGGTTGCCCATCCTCTCCAGGTGAATAAGATTCCCATGTTTGCTGTCAGTTACTGACATATTTTTGACCACGGAGCTATACAATTGAGCTGGATGGACGTCAGGAGGGATAAATGCTTGGATCCAATTATCTCGGTGACTTTGGTCAATTAACTTTTCTAGGATCTGTTATCCTTTCTATAAAATTAATCTATTCAGCTAGATAACCTCACATTGTCCTTACAGGACCGAATATGTGCATTTGTAAGATGGCACATTTCTAAGATTTTAAATTGGAAAGCATACTGTTGATGGGTCAAGCTACATTAGAAGGGCTTTTCTCTTTGCTTTTTCTATGATGGATTGATGTGGAGACCAAGTTCTCTGGTTATACATCCATCCATGAAAGCCCTTAGTTTATTGTTCCACTTCAGCTCCCAAACCTGGAGTTACAAGATTGTTAATAACTCCAATAAAGGAAATAAAAAGTGTTTTCAAAAACATCTGGCTAATAGTTTGTATAAAAATTCTAATGGGAAAAATACTGATGACAGCTCAACCTTTTATTTGTTCATTCAACTTCCTTTTTAAATCTCATACCTTCCAGATTGTTTCAGACTATGACTCTGCTCTTCTAGGAGCACACAACAGTTGACTTTAATGCTGACTATGGTTTCACACTTTCCTCTTTGGGGAAAGTTTATCTAGATTATAAGGCCTTAGATTTTCAAATCTGTGTGTATGTGGTTCTTTTTCCTTCTAACTCTAAAATCTTGTTGTCAAACACAACACCTGTCAATCATTGAGTCAAACCATTTGGTTAGGTTGTTTTGTTTTTGTTTTTGTTTTCTGTTTCTGTGCCTCGAGGTGTAGCCCACAGGGCCTTCTGCATACTAGGCAAGTGCTCTACCACTGAGCTGCACCCTGGCCCCAGCAAAGGTTTGGGAAATACTGTGTGGAGCACAAAGAATACAGTCGCTGGTGGATTAACCAATGGTCAGCTTGGAACATCCAGCTGAACTGAGTCAGTGTGCTTTGGGCGTGGAAGACCCACCTGAGGATTGTTGTCAATAGACATAAAAAGAGACCTAGATTGGAAGACCGGAAGATCGTGGGCTGTTGATTTTCTAGGAGAAGCTCCCTGAGACTGGTTTTCCTGATTCGAACTTGGCTGTTCGCATTGGAGAACGCGCTCAGGGCCTCGCTGTTGTTGGGAATGGCTGCTGTTCTCATCAGGGGAGCTCTGATCTTCACTGTGAATGTCACTTCCTGGCTCCAATATAGAGCCCTCAGCTGGGTGGCACAAATTCTTCACCCCCCTGGCGCAGATTTTCTGGCTTCCGCCACTGGCCTTTAGGCTTTCCAGGTAAAGATCCTCAATATGGGTAAGCATGAGATGTTGTTGTGGGCTCTAGGCCACTGGCTGGATTCATGGAGCACATTGACTTGGACTCTAGGCCTTCACTGGACTTGTGTGGCACTTTGCTGTGGGATTTAGACCCTTGGCTGGATTCTTTGGGCCTCTGGTGTGCAGTTAATCTCTTGCACTCCTCTGTATTTGACTTTTTGGGTAAATATCATAAAATAATCCTATAAACTATGTGTTCTGTATTAAATGTATTCCCTCGCAAAACCCTGACTACCACAGTCTCCATTTACAGAAAACTCACAAACTAGGAGTGAAGACTGGGTGTCAAAGCTGTTGAAAGCCTTGCCAGTTCTGTCACTGGAAATGGGGATGTATGTTGGGAGCTCAGAGAAAGAGCATTACATGCACCTCTGAGATAGCAGAGAGGCTTTTCAGAAGCAGGCTAAGTGCTCAAGGATGAATGACAATCATGCATGGAAGACGGACTGAGTCAGAGGTCAGGCTTATGACCAGGAAATGGTGGTTCAATACGCACAGAGTTTGGAGTACCTGACGGGGGGAGTTGCAAATTGAGGTTGAGGAGGTGAGTAATTGCGATTAAAAGCAGATGGTCGACTTTCCGTATAGCCAAGAGGTTGGGACTTCATCCTGAGGGTAACAGGTTACTAACGGATTTTAAATGGAAGAACATAGATTTGCATTTTTAAAAATTCGTACTTGTTACAGGCTGGAAAATGAATGCAAGGGACTAATTATAATGGCTACTTTGATAATGTAGGTAAGCATTGATAGTCTCCTGACTATAAAATACTGGCAATGAAGGATGGAGCGAATAACAGAAAATAGAGATTGAATCGGTGTAGTGGGGAAGGCAAGAAAACCAGGTCTGAATGAGTGAGGACGTTAGGCGTATGATGGGCATTTGTTGGGTAGATCTGACATATTTAATGAATTACTGTGTATTCTTTTCCAAAAAGAAACTTTATACTTAGAAGAACTACTTTTGTAGAATGTTCCTTTTTAACTAAAGTTAAATTGAGTTTGTGTCTGATCAAAATCTTAGGAAAATAAGAACATGAAGCCACTGTGGTTGCTACTCTTACTTATTTCAGTGTTATCATCCTTTACCAGCAAGAATCAGCTGTTAAGTTTTCCTACTCTCAAATCCTGAACTAAAGCTACACCCTTTGCTAAAATATCAACCTGCTAGAGTTCACAGCAACGTAATTGTTTTTCTTTCCTTTACAGTTTCGATGTGGACAATGGCACATCTGCGGGACGGAGTCCCTTGGATCCCATGACCAGCCCAGGATCTGGGCTAATTCTTCAAGCAAATTTTGTCCACAGTCAACGCCGGGAGTCCTTCCTGTATCGATCAGATAGCGACTATGACCTCTCTCCAAAGTCCATGTCCCGGAACTCCTCCATCGCCAGTGACATGTGAGTATGAGAGCGGCCAAATGGAAGAGGGAGCACCTGTAGGAGACAAACTCCTCTCAAGAGGTGGTGATTGGCTGGGGATTTAGCTCACTGCTTCCAGAGCCTGCCTCGCAAGGGCAAGGACCCGAGTTCGATCCCCAGCATCACACAAACACACACACACACACACCCTCCCAAAGATTTGGTGGTTGGATACAGCTGATGATTCTGGCTGTACTGCATTGCTGTCTAACTCTTAAATAGAATGAATAAAAGTATACAAGCTGAAAAGGAATGGTAGCTGCAACCTGAGCACACTGTCACTTGTGATAAACACTTGTTTTTCCTGGAAAATGCATTGGGGAGCATGAGAATTAAATTTTTAATAGAATCTTGCGCTAAAACCACCAGGTTGTATTTACGTAGGACCTGAGTTTTAGCTACTCAGGTGAAAGGGCCATTTTCTAGTGTTTAGAAACCTTTAAACTCGGCTTTTAGAATCTCTGTTGTATTAGAGTAGATCATGTTTTGGAGATATCTCAGTTGATGTATGTTCAGAAGTTGGCGCTTGTTTTCCAGGTCACTTGAGAAATCTTTTGTAGGGGTTTTCTCAAATTAAACTGATTTTTGAACAGGAATCACTAGAGATAGCCACAAAAAAAAAAAAATGTTAGGTTGAGCACAGTTTAAAACACGGCACAGAGTGGACAGTAATTAAAATAGAAAAGTGGATTGACGGCTCTCAGATCGTCATTGTTATAGCACATGTTTGTATTTGTGTACTGTTCTCTCTGTATTCAGGAATATTCTGCATACCCCCAATACCTGTAGGGTCACTTTTTGGATTTTCTCCCTCTCTTCTCCCTCTGCCTCTCTCCTTCTATCCTCCTTTCCCTCTCAATTGGTCTCAACTTCTCTCCTCTTAATCTGGACATTTGTCTAGTAACACTCACCCTCTCCTGGCACCATGTGAGAAACTCGGAACAGTTTACAATTGGCCTTACAGGATCTATTCTCCATGAGATCCCTGAGGGTTACTTTTGGTATCGTAACAGATCATCAAGGTATGTCTTAAATAAGATCTTAGAAGTTAATTTTTTTTTACTCATTATTGCAACTTAATAGTTCTTGCTTTTTTTGAGCAGTTGCATAATTGATATTTATTCCCATCCTTAAACAATTTTCTTTTCCCAGTGATCCTATTTCTATGTTCTCCTCGCTCCACTTCCATAGGCTTGAAATTTGGGACTTTTATTTATTCGTTCACACATAATGTAAATACTTCTTGAGAACCATAGTGTATACGAAGTTCCCAATCTGTGGGGCAGTGGAGTCTGGCATTTTAAACCATTGTAATAAAATATGACAGACACCAGCCTTGAGGTATTTTACAGAGTACTGCAGGGGTATGGAGAAGAGAAGGAGGCCTCTGTCTGACCAAGAGTAGGGTGACGAAAATAACCGGCGAAGGGGAAAATATTTTCAAAATGTGAGGAATGGAAACAGCATGCGTTGGTTAAAAATAAAAAAGTCTCTTTGGTGCGAGTAGAAAAATATGCTAAGAAAAAAGTCAAATATTTTAGAAGTTGAGAGCTACAGAGGTTTTAGCTGGTGTTTGGCCTGATTACATTCTTGTTTTCATGAATTATGATTACTTTTGTGGAATTATTGCACAATGAAATGACTACAGAAAAGTAGTTGATGCCAAATTCACAGAGGTAAAGCAGATTAAATATGATAAAGACTTAAACCAAGGCAGTGGCAGTAGGACAGATAGGTTGGGCCAGCTACAAGAGGTACTACACATGTGTGTGCTGGACAGACCTTCAGGAAAGACAATGAAACAAAATGCTAATGTTTGCACCCTGAATGAGTAAGTAAATGATGTTTCCGTGAGAAATAAAAGACCGATAGTGGACAGCATAATGACAGATAGTAAGTAATGAATTTGGTTTTTACAGGATAAGGGTAGGAAGAAAAAATAACCGTTAACCACAGGAACTAAAAGCATAAATAACAGTCCAGAGAACTCGGACAAATCAGAATAACTAGTTGTCATCCAAAGACCCAGTAATTACAGGTGATAACTGACTGAGGGGTTTTAGCTGATAGAATTAGAAGCCCAGTAGGTAAGGAAAGAATCCAGAGTGCAGCCCTGAGACGACGCCCACATCCTTATAGAAGGTTCGTGAGCAAAGCAGCGGAGAGGAGTAGCCTGCATGAGGGAGAGTCACGTTGAAGGGGCTTTTCAGACTGTATTTTAAAACATTATGAAAAATAATGTTTAAAAATTTAGTGCTTGAGCTGGATAAAGAATCCAGAAGATAGAGACTAAAAATTCAAGGACAAAAGGATATTAAAAATAAAGTTGTTGCCGGGCGTGGTGACACATGCCTGTAATCCCCGCACTCAGGAGGCTGAGGCAGAAGGATCGCTGTGAGTTCGAGACCATCCTGGGATACATAGTGAGTTCAAGGCCAGTCTCAACTACACAGTGAGACCCTGTCTCAAAAAAACAAAACAAAACAAATAAATAAATAAATAAATAAATAAATAAAGTTGTTGTTGCTGACTAAAGTCTGATCTAAACTCAATTAAAGAGGCTATTGCTGAAAAAAGTACTAACTGTTGTGTTGTTTAGGAAAAACAAGGAAGCACGTGAAATGGGGCAAGAGGGGATATGAATCTGGAGCTCAAGGAGTAAATGGTTTCGAGAATCCATGGCTACTGATCTCTTTTTCAATCAAATGGAAGGTATAGCCATTAATAACAAAGGACAGGGGGTGTGCAGGAAGGAAGAGGGCTAAAATAGCCACTATGCTGATCACAAAAGAGAGCAGATGAGAGATTAGTAGATGCATTCTGAACTTAATCATAGATAATTATAAACTAGGTGAGACAAGATTGAGTGCTAATGTGTTCTTGAGCACTAATTAGTACTCTAACATTTGAATTAGATAGAGGGCAGGAGAAAATTCACAATGAGTTAGTATTCTGTTTTATGTGTTACGTCACTCTAGTTATGGATCCTGTTTTTAAAAATTTTTACAAATCGAGCTTTGAATGCTAATATATACAAATTATTTCATATCTTCTACTCTTTTTAGTAAAGATTAAATACACATATGCGCTTTTTGAAAAGTTTGTAACATTTCATATTTAATTAGAGTATTTCCAATGCCTACTTTGGCCTCATATACTTTGTTTTTGTTGTTGTTGTTGCTTGTTTTTTTGTTTCTTGTTTTTGGGTGTTTTTTTTTGTTTTTTTGGTTTTTGGTTTTCTGAGACAGGGTGTCACTCTGTAGTTGAGACTGACCTGCAACTCACTATGTAGCCCAGGCTGGTCTCGAACTCACAGGGATCCTCCTGCCTCAGCCTCCCAAGTGCTGGGATTACAGGCGTGAGCCACCACACCTGGCTGGCCTCATATACTTTGAACCAATAAATTTTTTTGTTTGATCAGGCTCACATAAGATGGAAAAATTAACCAGACTATGATGCAACTCGTTGTATTCTTCAAGAAATAGATTGGCATTCTTAGTGATCCCGTTCCCTTGGGATATGTTCATTGGAGCAATATAGTTTTCATTTCATGTTCACTCACGCCTGGGAAACAGTCTCTGAACCTGAGAGATGAAATTTCTGTATGAGGAAAAATAAATAGAATAATTACCAATTCAGTATTCCGTTTGATAACAACATATAATATTCTACGCATAAGGAATTATGCCTTCTTTTCATGGACTTCTCATATGGCCATGTGTAAATCTGTTTTATTACCTTACCTCATTCAGAATAATGCTGTGTGTATTGTCCAGTGTTTTTAATTCACCTGTTTTATAGACAACATTACATTTTATTCACTTGATGATTTTATAGCTATTGTTTTGGTTTAGTTTTCCAATGGAGAAAATTCCTCAGCGGTTTCAAACACAAACACTACCAAGAAAAGTTTATGATTATCTATTTGAATGAAATGTTTTGGAAAAACCTTTCAATGCTTTGTAATTTTGAATAGAAGTGCTTAATTTATTGGCAAAGTGAATAGTAGGTAATTACTTCTGAATAAAATGTGATCGTCTCATATTCTATAAATAGATACTGGTAAAATAGCTGAGATATAAGGAGAAAAATCCCAATAGTGATAGCAGTGATAAGCATAATAGATGTTGCAGGTGTATATTATTCTTCACCTTTCTGAGTAGTTCTTTTTGTTTTCTGAAATATCATGTTCTTTTGGGGGGAGGGAGTTGGGGATTTTTTTTCAGTTTTTATTAGTACATGTTTGTGATATGTAATGATGACATTTATCATGCGGGGTTTGTACCTGTACCTACTATATCTTAATTATTTTTTGTTCCCTTCCTCTCACCTCCCTCCCTGCTTCTTGTTCCCCTTCCCATTTGAAAAAGCTGTTTCCACTTTTTCCTTCAATCTTAGTTGACACTTTCCCAGACCATGCAATAGGGAAGTTATCATGCCATTCTACAGATGAAAGATCCATAGCTCAGTGATCCTATTTTTTTTTATGAACATGACAAACATTAATTGTTTCTAGGAGAGCATTATTTTCACAGTGCCATTGCAAACAAAAGGCTGTAAACTACTATAGACAGACTAAATTTATTTACCCAACTGAATTAAAGTAAGATAGAAGCTCAGAGTGACCAAAAAAGCCATCAAACAAAAGTACAGCTGACTCAGGCTTATGTTATACTCAGAATCTAAAAATGTCACTTATTTAAGGCTTCTGCCTCAAGACTACCACAGAGTTTGTTAAATACAGACACCACTATAGCAACTTAATTCTTTTTTTTTTTTTTTTTGGTACTGGGGATCGAACTCTTGAACTTGACCTTGCACTTGGCAAGGCAGGCGGCATAACCACTGAGCTAAATCCCTGGCAGCAACTTAATTCTTAATGAAGCTAAGAAATAAAGCAATGCTAAGTATTAGAATGGGTATAATAAATATATACATAGAAAACAAATTTGAATTATCACTGATAATAGAAAAAAAGA